TTAAAGATACTAATTTAATCAAATAAAACCAAGAAATTTCATGACTTTGGAAAAATTATATTATTTTTCACGTAAACCTATTTTTACACACTTAATTGCGAACAGTTAAAAATAATACTAGGATTTATTGAACAATAAAAGAAATGCAAATGAAATATGCACTAACTTATATATCCATTTTCAGGGTTCTCACATCCTCCCCTCCTTACAAGAATTTTGCCCTCAAAATTCACCCTTTCTAAGAAAATAGATCAGGGTACTTTTTCTGCATTTCTTCCTCTAATTCCCAAGTTGCTTCCTCAAGTCCATGATTTTTCCATAGAATCTTTACCAGAGGAATTTTCTTATTTCTCAGCTCCTTTACCTCTCTTTCCAAAATCTTGACTGGTCCTTCTTCATACGTTAACGTCTCATCCACTTCAATTCCCTCCAGTGGCAGCACATGACTTGGGTCGGAATAATATTTCCTAAGCATGGAAACGTGAAATACATCGTGAACCTTAGCCATGCTTGCGGGTAACTTCAGCTGATATGCCACATTTCCAACTCGCTTCAAAATTTCGAAAGGTCCGATATACCTTGGCTTTAGCTTCTTACCCTTTTTAGATATTACTCCGCTCTTCAAGGGTTTAACTCTTAGGAAAACCTTGTCTCCTACTTCAAATTCTAAATCTTTTCTCCTTGTGTCGGCGTAGCTCTTTTGTCTACTCTGAGCAGTTTGAAGCCTTTCTCTAATTAGTTTCACTTTCTCCTGGGCTTCTTCTATCCAAGGTATCGCTGTTGGATCTACAATCCTCTTTTCTCCTATTTCATCCCAATGAATCGGAGATCGACACCTTCTTCCATACAAAGCTTCATAGGGTGCCATTTGAATTGAGGCTTGATAACTGTTGTTATACGCAAATTCCACTAAGGTCATATAATTACTCCATTTACCTCCAAAATCCAATATGCACGACCTCAGCAGATCTTCCAAAGTTTGAACTGTTCTTTCCGACTGCCCGTCGGTTTGGGGATGGTACGCAGTACTAAATTTCAACTTGGTCCCCAAAGACTCCTGAAATTTCTGCCAAAAACGTGAGACAAACCTTGGGTCTCGATCAGACACGATACTTACAGGAATACCATGTAACCTTAGAATCTCCTCTGTGTACAACTTGACCAGTTTTTCCAAAGAAAAGGTCATGCTTACAGGTAGGAAATGTGCAGACTTAGTGAGTCGGTCAACTATTACCCAAATTGCATCAAATCCTTTTTGGCTTCTAGGCAATCCCGTTACAAAATCCATTGTAATATGTTCCCATTTCCATTCAGGGATTTCTAACGGTTGCAATAAACCAGAGGGCTTCTGATGCTCAGCTTTTACTTGTTGGCAGATCAAGCATCTCTGAACAAACTCTGCCACGTCCTTTTTCAAACCTTCCCACCAGTACAATCCCTTCACATCATGATACATCTTGGTCACACCTGGATGAATGGTATATTTTGATCGATGTGATTCTTCCAAAATTTCTTTTCTTATCTCCACATCCGCCGGAATCACAATACGATCTCGGAACCTCAATACACCTTCAAACCCCAATTTAAAATCTAGATTTTCCCCTTTTTGCACTCTCTCCAGATTCTTCTGAGTCACAGGGTCCGATTTCTGGGCCTCCTTAATACGCTCTAGTAAAGATGATTTTAACGATAAGTTCCCAAGTAATATCTTCAGTTTCTCCAAACGAGGGTTCCAACCACTTATTTCTTCTAACATGTCCCACTCTTTAACCATTAACCCTGCTACTTGGGCCTTTCTACTTAGAGCGTCAGCTACCACATTAGCTTTTCCCGGGTGGTAGTTAATTGAACAGTCATAATCCTCCAAAAATTCTACCCATCGCCTTTGTCTCAAATTCAATTCCTTCTGGGAGAACAAATACTTAAGGCTCTTATGATCCGTATAAACCTCAAAAGTCACGCCATACAAGTAGTGTCTCCATTTCTTTAAGGCGAAAATCACTGCTGCTAACTCCAGGTCATGAGTTGGGTAGTTTTGTTCATGAGGCTTCAATCTCCTGGAAGCATAGGCAACCACCTTACTGTTTTGCATTAAAACACACCCTAGACCTTCTCCAGAAGCATCGGAGTACACGGCATAACCTTCGCCTCCGTCAGGCAACACCAAAACAGGAGTGGATGTTAATCGCTTCTTTAACTCCTGAAAACTTGACTCACACTTCGGAGTCCAAGTGAACCTATTCCCTTTCTTGGTTAGCTCGGTCATGGGTCCAGCAATTTTCGAAAAATCCTTGATAAATCGCCTATAGTACCCTGCTAATCCCAAGAAACTTCGAATCTCAGTTGGGCTTTCTGGTTGCTTCCAATTCATAACGGCCTCAACTTTTGCTGGATCCACGGCAATTCCCTCCTTAGAAATTTTATGCCCTAGAAAAGATATTTCATCAAGCCAAAACTCACACTTGCTGAATTTGGCATACAGCTTCTGCTCCCTTAATATTTGCAAGACTATCTCCAAGTGCTTAACATGTTCCTCTCGAGTCTTAGAGTATATCAAAATATCATCAATGAAAACCACAACAAACTGATCTAGATACTTCTTAAAGACTCTCTGCATTAAATCCATGAATGCTGCTGGTGCATTAGTTAAACCAAAAGGCATGACTGCGAACTCAAAATGTCCATACCTTGAACTAAAGGCAGTCTTAGGTATATCCTCCTTCTTAATTTTTAACTGATAATACCCTTGCCTCAAATCCAGCTTAGAGAAAACTACTGATCCTTGCAGTTGGTCAAACAGACTATCTATCAACGGTAGAGGGTATTTATTCTTAATTGTAACCTCATTTAACCCTCGGTAATCAATACATAACCTCAAGCTTCCGTCCTTTTTCTTAACAAATAGAACGGGCGCTCCCCATGGTGAATCACTCTCCTTCACAAAACCTTTCTCCAAGAGGTCTTGCAATTGAATTTTCAACTCCTTCAGCTCGGCAGGAGCCATCCGGTACGGAGTTTTAGAGATTGGAGCCGTTCCAGGCACCAAATCAATCTTAAATTCCACTTCTCTATCCGGCGGTAGAGTTTTTAACTCTTCTGGAAAAACATCCGAAAATTCCCGTACCACTGGTACATCTTCCAACTTCACTTGATCACTGGGAGCATTAATCATGAAAGCTAAGAAATCTTGAGCTCCTTTTGACAACATTTTTCTCGCCCGTATCCCTGAGATCATAGCAGATGATGCTAACCTACCCTTAACATCTAACCTCAGAGTTGCCTCTCCAGGTATACAGAATTCTACCACTTTTGCTCGGCAATCCAGCTTAGCATGATATTGACCTAGGAAATCCATTCCTATGATAACATCGTACCCTTTTATGTCCAGACTGATTAGATCCACTAGCATTTTACGCTCTCCAATCCAGAATTCACAATCCTTAAAGGCTAAGCTAGCGATTATCCTCTTATCACCCATTGGTGTCCTAACTTCAAGATCGAAGGGTAATTTAACAGGTCTCACGGCTATTCCAGACATAAATGATGGATTTACGAATGAATGAGTTGCACCAGGGTCAATTAACACTTTAGCTAATCGATGGAAAATGGGGAGAGTACCTTCCACGACTTCCGAGGAATCAGGTACAGGTTGATCATCTATAGCATATACCCTGGCAGGAACTGTTGGCCGGCTCCCTCCAGAAGTGTTTGGTCTAGCGTTTGGAGTACCCCCCTCCTGCATTTTTGGACATCCAGAAATTTGGTGCTCGCTACTTCCGCATCTCAAGCACTTCCCTTGCTTCTTCCAGCAACCATCTATAGTATGGCCAGATTTCTTACAAAATGTACAACTCACTTGGGAAACTATTGCTCGGCCTCCTTGTGAAGTATTCTTGGGTTGTCCCCTTCCAATCGGTCCCACTCGGTTTCCATTACTACGTCCCCCTGCATTCCTGGTCCCGTTTCCTCTTGCTTGGGCGCCTCGTGGTGCTCCAGGACGATTTGCTCCAAGGGTTCCTCGGCCCATTTTAGCTGGTGGAGCATTTCCATATGTCGGCTCCCGACTACTGCTAGGAGCAAATCTTTTCTTAGCCTGAAAAGATTTCACTTGAGCCCTAGCTACTTCAACTCTTTGGGCTTTCTCGACAGCATCTGCAAAGGTATCAATCCTCACAGCAGCTAAACCTTCCTGTATTTCTACATTCAGACCTTGCACAAACCTTCTGACTCGCCTTTGCTCCGTGGTCACCAATTCAGGAGCAAAACGGGATAGTTTTGTGAACTGGACTTCATATTCGGCGACACTCATCGCCCCTTGCTTACATTTTATGAAGTCATCCTCCCTCTTTTCTTGGATAAGAGGTGGAAGAAATTTGGCATTGAACTCCCTTGTGAAGTTCGCCCAAGTCCTTGGAGTATGATTCCTGTCCCAATTAGTCCTAATCAGGTTCCACCAGGAGCGAGCAGCTCCCTCGAACTGGAATGCGGCAAAAGTCACCTGCCGCTCCTCCGTGTAGTTTAAAGCTGCGAAGATGTCGGAGATTCTCTCCCACCACCCCTCAGCTATATCAGGTTCGGGTCCTCCATAGAACTTAGGAGGTCCAAATTTCAAAAATCTCTCCAATGCCCGATCCTCAGAATCAGTTGGGCCTCCTTGGCGGTGCACTGGCCCAGAGGCTTGATGTTCAGTCAAGCGCTCCAAGACATCAGTGATACGGTTAATTGCGGTGGCCACTTGATCTCCGGCCACTCCCTCTTGCCCTTGGTCTTGGTTGACCTCGGGTTCCCTATCACCACCCGCTTCCGGGCGTTGTTTAGGGGGTCTCCCACGGCCTCTTCCTACTATTTGGCGATCCATGGCCTAATTATGCCTAATACTGAAGGGTAAGATAATTAGGCAAAAATTTACCTATAATTAATTTTTATGATTCGTTACGTGATTAAAATCAACATGGAAATAGAGGAAAAGAAAATGAAACACTTAACATATATTTCCGTGGAACAGTCATACAATTTGCAAGTTGGAACATTTCCTAAAGTAAGGCACACAAGTTAGCAAAAATACATACAAATAATCCCTTAAGTACAAAATTAGGGATATGGTGCCTTGGAAGCAAGTCATTCACCTAGACAAAACTTGATGACTTGACTAATGCTCCTGAACTGATCCTACCAAGCTAATACTATCAAGTCAATCCCAGTCTAACCCTTAGCAGGGCTATCAGGAGCAATGTCCTCAGCCGGATCCTCCTCCGGATCTTCCTCTGGATCCTCCTCCGGATGCTCCTCTGGGTCCTCCTCCGGGTCCTCCTCGGTACCTGCCTGTTCATCCTCCTGAAGGTAACTAGTGGCCTCATCCATAAGCATAGAAGCATCAGCCCTGATGCCAGCACTCCTATCTCTGATCCCCTCAGCAAGTCGGGTCACTCTAGACCTCTGCCTCTCTATCTCCAAACGAGCAACCTCCAGCATATTATGCTCAGCAGTTAGCCTAATCTCCAAGTCAGCTATGCGATCGAACTGAGTATCCACCATGATACTCAGCTCCTCCACATCCTGGGTCAAGGTGTGGTTAGCGTCCCACAAGTGGCGGCGCTCATCATCAAGAGATAACACCAACGTGTTGGGATACGCATAGGTGGCCCTACACTGGCACCTAGGGTACCTATCAGCTGGGGAGTATCGAACTCGATCTCCTCCTCCTCGAGGTCTATAGGAAATGGACCTTAGCGGCTCTACGTGTCCATTAGCCTCACTACTACCGTTAGCATGCCCGTTACCATTCTCCATACCTGTAAAATAATCAACACTTAAAGATTAGAACTTAATTAGCTAACCGGATCATATATTACTTAAGGTATTTCTAATGGTCTCAAAACTTATTTCTAGAGAGGATTAGGGTTTCTAACACAACTAATATGTCTTTCAAATAATTTCTCTAACCTAGGCTCTGATACCACCTGTGGCGACCCCACTTCCCCCTGAGGCGAACCAAAGGGTTGGCGGGCCGTCTGCCCAGCTCTCGCCAGGACTCACGCGAGCAATCTGACTAGAAACTTTTCGAAGAATAAACTAATCTATTATAAAACAATTTTTCCCCGAATAGCATCACACCTAAAACCACATTAACTTCAGAGATAGCAATGATAAAATAACTAGTCGAGGCCCTTAAACGCCCTACGTGATACATACCAAGTACAAAATCATAACAACCCAGATAGATAACATGCATAAATCCATAATACAACTTACAAGCCAAGTAATCGAATTAGGGTTTACACATTTTCTAGCTTCAAGTGGCAATCCAAAAAGGAAAATACATTATTCCAATAACACGCTACAGCCCACAGAACAAGTTATAGAATTCAAGTACAGCCCAAAAGAAAACATAATTAAGCCTCCAGCTTTCAGTTTCCAAAACCTGTTAAGGAAAACAATAAACGTGGGGTGAGCTAAAGCTCAGTGGTGCCCCAAAACATGCAATTACATAAATCAAACAACGGATAACAATTTAAACAAAATTTAATCAATTAGGAAAGCGAATAACAGCACAAGGTAGGATACAGGGCTCTCAGGAGCCATTTTCCACGCTTGATCAGATACCATCGTAGTTGACCCTCCGTCAACTTTCACTACTTATAGTCCATGTAGATCCACTTATTTTAATCCTAACCCATCACCGTTCATACCTCTGCTTCGGGCCCGAACTTCGTCTACCGACGCAGTATACTCGAGATATACCCGTATAAAATTAGTCGAGGGATTCACCCAATGACGTGATTGCAATCAGATACATGCGTCGAGGAATTCACCAAACAACGTGATTGCAATCAGATACGTGCGTCGAAGGATTCACCCAATGACTTATTGTAGTTAGATACATGCGTCGAGGGATTCACCCAACGACGTAACTACATTTAGATTCATGGTAGTTAGATTCATGCGTCGAGGGATTCACCCAACGACGTAACTACATTTTGAATCAAGGATTTAGGAGAAAATATTTTGCACAAGTCACCACTCGAACGGCTAGTGTGATAAAGTACACACAGCTCACTTCGATGGATCAGAAACCAATTTTTTTTTTTTCAACTTATCACATAACAAATCAAGAAAGCACTTTAAACGGGTAGGCATAGAACAGGCAGGGACACTCACCCAGAGTGGAGTTCAGATATCAAGTTGGGGATCGAAATCCGTGTCCTCGAAAAACCCTAAAAACCAAAATTTGAAACTATAAGTTTCTACTCAATTTTTAAGCTTATAGACATTAAGATATATTGAATATATTACTAGTTCACTTTCCCTTAGAAAAAAAATCAAGGGTTCCTTAGATTAAAACTCGATAAAAGTAGAAGAGATATTTCTTATAGTTTTCCTTGAAGTACTTTTCTAAAATAAATTAACTAGTATTATTTTATTGAAATAAGTCGATAAACCTCTGAATATCAAAGCTAGACAGTTACTTTGAACATTTCTCTAAAGATACGACTTTTGCAAGATTTATTCCCAAAATCTATTTTTCCTAAAAAAAAATAGAGTTTTCTTGCCGAGCAAGACTCCCAGGCTTTTCACTAAAATTTGTAAAACTCGTATTTTGAATTTTTCCTAAAGTTAGCTATCCAAATGTAAAGCTTAAGGAAAGAAAAGAAATTGAAATACGCCTTAGAATTTTCAAAAGCTATAGTATTAAAATACTATAGCTATCAAGACTAGTTTAAGCTAAAGGAACTTATCGGTTTCGAAAAGTTTTAGGTGAAACACTAGATATTGAGTTTTTATATTATACTACTAGCTGGAAAATATTTTTGATTGATTTGATCACAGTTACTCGAGTTCACCAAGTCGAAACGACTCGCACAGCTCCGGTTCCGTTTCGAAATTATTAGAGATCAAAATATGGCAAAAATCACGTAGCAAATTACTAGGACTTCGTCAACCATTAGCCCTAGGTTTTAACAATTTATCATTCGAGCACACGCAAGAAAATTAACCAAGGCTTAGTCAATACTTAGCACTTGTATATAATACTTGTACCAACTCACAGCTTTCTAAACAATTTCAACAATTCATCCATAAATTCAAGTGTGGGAATTCATAGAGCCCACTGTCAAAAATTTCCAACCGTAAATCCAAGTGTGGGAATTCATAGAGCCCACTGTCAACAATTTCCAACTACAATTTAATCAAAAATTTAAACCACACGTAGGCTAAAATCTCAATTCAAAACCCAATTTCTGTTTCACCAAGAAACAGGACATTCCTGCAAAACAGTCCACTTTAAAAATTCACAGACAGCAGTATACATGTAGGAAAAATCTGAAATTTCTACAGTACAAAGGCCTATGATTCTAGTTTTAAATGCCACTGACAGCGCCTTAAACGGATTTTTCTACACCAAGATATAAACATTTTTCTGAGACTGGTTAGGCCATCCGAAAATCTGAAATTCCAATTTTTCACTTGTGAAAAATGCCTTTTCTCTTTTAACACCAACTTGTTTTTATTCAAACCTTCTATATACTTCATATAAAACTTCAAAACAACATTTTCCAAGCATTTCCATCCATCATGATTCAAGGAACAATTCAAACGTCAAGTTAAGGTTCCAATTCACCATTTGACGGTCACATAAGAAATTTCCAGCATGTAACCCAACATTTCTAGTTCCAACTTCAATTTAGCAAACATTTTATTGCTAAACAACTTATACCACTTAAAACTTACAGCTTCCCTGTATGACTAAACCATTTTAATCCAAGGAAAACCCAAAAATAGGTTAAAATTCCAAAAGAAAACAAATTTGAAATTTCTGCTCACACCTCTTTGCTATCCAGAATTTTCCAGCACCTATGTTTTCAAAAATCCAACTTTTCCTTGGCTAAAATCTGGTTTTAAACACCCAAATTAGTCATGCAAAAACTCATCTAGCTAATTAATAACTCCAATTCAAAATTTAACTCAAACAACCGCTGCAATTCCCCAAAATTTCCAGAATTTCTGCACAGCTAGCTTCGGACAACATACATGCAACAGATTTCATTTTTATTTTATTCTTCTGGTTTAAACTAACTAATTAGCTGTATGCAGAGCCTAATTAACTTGTTATAAATCATCTAATCATGGTTATAAATCTAAACATCAGCATTAAACCAAATCAGGCTGCATAATCTTAAGCTAAGCTCTCGGTCAAAGCAGAAATTCTTCCAGCATTTGTTTAGTCACAACCCAATTTTTTTTCCCCGGTTAAATCCTGTATTTTGCACTTAAAATTCACATGCACAACTGCTGAATTAACTAGCTATCATATCCAGACCAGAAATCAGTTTGACCGCAACAAAATTGAACCAAGCTAAGCTGCAATAATTAAGCTAAGCTATCGGCAGAAATTTCTTGACCCAAACCAGAAGTTTCCTCTGTTTTAACACTTCATCCGAATGTCCAATTCAACATGCATGGACTTAATCTTCAAGTTTTCACTCAGCTAATGACACTCAAGTGCTCAGATCATCACAGATTATCCAATTAAAGTTACAATTTCCAGCTCAACTTTCGGCAGCTTCAATTCATTCTAAACCAGATTTCCCAAATCTTAATTCTTCATCTAACCTCACCAGCCCACATGCATGTTTATAGACAGCTTCAACAACCCACAACAACTCATATAAGTCCAGAAATTACCTTAGATTGAAGTTTAGTTCACACGACTAGCTTCTGCAAATCCTTCCTTCTCGATCCGTCCAAACTTTCAGTTCGTCCACCCCTCTTATCTCTTGTCCAAGCTTGCAACCAAAATGGAGAAGGTTTAGCTCTCCGCTCTCTTCACTACCTCACGGTTGGATCGAGTATAGAGCAGCAGGGTTCACCATTTTTATTTTTTTTTTCTAGTTCACGGATGAAAGGAAAGAAAAGTTGAAAGCTCGGCTCTTTTCCCTTGGACACTCCGCCCGCAGCTCACGGCAGAAAGGAAATGGAAATGTGGAGCAAATGATATGGGTGGTTTGTGGTATAAGAACAAAGAGTAGAGATATAATGCTGCGGTTTGGAAGGAGGAAGAAATAATTTGCGGTTTTGGTCTTGTGCAGGGAAGGAAATGAATCTGTGGTCTTAAGTCGTGAGATAGATTGAACGTATGGTGGTGCCGCAGTTTGTGAGAGCGGTTTACGTGTGAGGATGGATTGCGTATAACATCGGTTGCGTATCGAAATGGTTAAAAGCAATTGTGATTTGATTTGTGTCATACGTCTTGTTTGGTTTGCATGGAAAGGTAAGGTAAGGGTAATTTAGTCTTTTCACTTTACTCCCTAACCTCGACTTAATTTCGCAAATCCGACTTAATTCTAAAAATTATTCCCAAGTGTGATTCAAACGCTTAAATATACTCTAACATACCTAAACCATTTCTAGCGAATAAATTATCGATTAAACTTGAATATTAAGGTTCCCAACCTGATTTAGCAATTAAATTAGTTATTAGAATTTCCAATTATTATTTCTCAAGAAGTGGGGTTAGTCTAACTCGAAATTTGTTGATTTAGTAATATAAGGCCAAATGAAATAGTAATTTAATCCAAGGGTGTCAATTTGCACACAAAATTTATTGTTACGTACTTATTTGAAAATAAGGAAAGATAAGGATATATTTATCGAATTTTCATGCCTTAAGCATGTTTAATATATTGGTACTATATTTATCTAAAATTCATTGGTTTTCATTTTAACACGGAAATTCTTATTAACATATTCCATTAGTAACTAATTGAAATTAATCATAGCACTTAAATAATTTATTTAAAGATAATAAATCTAACGACTCAATTATCATCAATTTTAGCATAAAAGAACTAAGAAATCTAACATTTTATTTTGAGGCGAAAAATTATACCAACCTTAAAGATACTAATTTAATCAAATAAAACCAAGAAATTTCATGACTTTGGAAAAATTATATTATTTTTCACGTAAACCTATTTTTACACACTTAATTGCGAACAGTTAAAAATAATACTAGGATTTATTGAACAATAAAAGAAATGCAAATGAAATATGCACTAACTTATATATCCATTTTCAGGGTTCTCACAGTACTACATTATCTCGTTTTGAATTTGATCCTATTTTTAATTGTCTAAGAAAATGCAGCCATGTTTATTATTTTAATTAAATTTTTACCTAGACGGGAACAACCGAGCACTATGCCTGGAACATCCTTCTCCGGACTTACCAACGGACTAACAAGGCCTTAAGTCTTACCAACGTTTTCAGTAAAAGTTTAATAAAATAAATGAACATAAATGCATGAAATAGATAATTTAAATAGAGACTAAATTCAAAGTTAGAAAATGTAAAGACGAAGTCTAAATATACTTATGCAAATAAGGGTGTGGCTCTGATACCACTTCTACCCAGGACTTTGCAATTATTCATATACGTTAACTAAAAGCAAATATTGTAGGGGCTTAGAGTGTAATAAATGAAACTTACTTGACTTTTGAGAGTGCACAATCGGAAGCTTGAATTCAACAATGGAAACTTGCCAACTTTATTGTAATGATGAAATCCACTTCTACAAAGACTTTTGAGTACAATGGTTATTTAGAGTGAGTGGGAATAGTAGGAGAACTAAGAGTGAGTGGGAGTGGTAGGAAAACTAAGACAAGTCTATTACAACTTTTGATATTTGTTCGCCGATTGTGCACTCTCAAAAGTCAAGTAAGTTTCATTTATTACACTCTAAGCCCCTACAATATTTGCTTTTAGTTAACGTATATGAATAATTGCAAAGTCCTGGGTAGAAGTGGTATCAGAGCCTCTATAAATAGATTGAAGATTCAGAAGATAATTTGATTTGTCAAAATATTTGCTTCTGATAAATTCAATCTCGAAATCAAATACAGATAAAATAGCTTGCCATCTAGCAAATATTTGTTTTGAAACTATATTTTGAACATCTTTTTGTAAAATTTCTTTTGCAGATTTACAATCTATTCTAATCAAAAATTTCTTATTATATAAATCATCTTGAAATTTTGATATGCATAAAACTATGGATAAAATTTCTTTTTTAATGGTTGAATAATTCTTTTGAGGGTCAGACCATGTTCCTGAATGAAACCTAACTAATTCTTCTTTAGAATTATTTATCTTTTGTTTTAGTATTCCACCATATCCTAATTCTGAGGCATCAGTTTCTACTATCATGAATGCTTTAGGATGAGGTAGGCATAAACATGGTAATGACTCTATTTTTTCTTTTAAATATTTTATTTTTTGAGTATGTTCATCTGTCCATGGTTTTGGGTTTTTCTTTAGTCTGTTAAATAATATAGAACATTCTTGTCTTAATTTAGGAAAGAAATCTGCTATATAATTTAAGCATCCTATAAATCTTTGTAATTGAGTTTTATCTTTTATTTCATCTGGAAATTTAGTAGCAAATTCTAAAGCTCTATTAATTGGTTTTATTGTTCCTTGATATATATTATGTCCTAAAAATCTTACTTTAGTTTGAAATAATTTCATTTTTGGGGCGGAAACAACTAATCCATTTTTCTTGACTACTTTTAAAAATATACTTAAATGTTTGAAATGTTGTTCTATTGATTCTGAAAATATTAATACATCATCTATGTATACTATACTGAATGAGCTGTAAGGATTGAAAATATCATTCATTATATTTTGAAATTCTGATGGTGCATTTTTTAATCCAAATGGCATAACTTTCCATTCATAATGTCCAAAAGGTGTTGTAAATGCTGTTTTGTATCTATCTTTTGGGTCTATTATTATTTGCCAATATCCTGATTTCATATCAAATTTGGAAAATATTTTTGCATTGAATAATCTATTGAGCAAATCTTTTTTATTAGGAATAGGATATCTAATCCATTGTAATACTTTATTTAAAGGTTTATAATTTATTACTAATCTTGGAACTCATCTTTCTTTTTCAGCTTGATTCATGACATAAAATGCAGCACAACTCCAAGGTGATTTTGAAGGTGTTATTAATCCTTTTTCTATTAATATTTTTATTTCCTTCTTACAAAATTCTAGTAATTCAGAATTCATCTGTATTGGTCTAGCTTTTGTTGGAATATTCTTTTCTCCAAAGTCCTTTTCATAAGGTAATTCTATCATATGTTGTTTTCTATCCCAAAAAGCATTAGGAATATCTGCACAAATTTCTTTTTGAAATAATTCTTCTAATTCTGATATTCTTTTTTGTATTTTAATATCATTTAATTGTTCTTCAATTTTTAAATAAGATTTTTCTTCTTTAATATAATTTATTTGTTGTTGTACTTTAGTAATGGTATTTATTGTTTTATATATTGAAGATGTTTGTAAGGTTTGTAGTTCTTTCTGTCTTATTGGAGTTAAAAATTTGAAGGTAATAATTTTTCCCATTATATTTACTGAAATTCCTTCATGACTTACTACAAATGGATATATTTGAATTAAAAAGGGTGTACCTAATATTACATCATGATTTATATTGTTTACAATTATGAAATTATGTTTAATACAATATTCATTATTACATATTGAACCTTTTGTAAATTTATATTTTACTTCTAAATCTTGTCCATTTGCTGCCATTAGTTTTTCTTTTGTTCTTTCACAATATTTAGTGGGAATTATTCCTTCCTTAATACAACTTGTATCAGCTCCACTATCTATAAGAGTTACAAATGTTTCTTTGAAATCTTCTACTGTAATAGTTACTAATGCAAACCATTTTTGAAAAATCATTCTTTCTATAATATTTATATATTGGTCTTCTTTTACTGGATTTTCTGCTATTGATATTTCGTCTGTTTTGGTATTAGAGGTTGAAGGTTGATTATTATTTATTAATGTTAATTTTGATTCTATTTCTAAATCTTTTAATTTTAATTCTATTATTTCTTGTTGTAATTGTTTTACTTGTATTTTAAGATTATTAATTTCTGATTGAAGATCTTTAGTAGTTTCTTTCTTCATTACATTTATATTTGGATATTTATCTATTAATTTTGATATGCTAAAAGGTTCTATTATCTTTGGCATTTTATCTTCTTGAATAATTAAGCTTTTTAATCTTTCCAAATATTCTTTTTTAGCTATTGGATCGTCAATTTTTTCTATTATATCTAGTAAAAATTCTTTATCTTCTTTTTTAGTTATTACATTGATATATTTTGGAGTACAATTACAATCTTCTTCACTGTCTGAACTGGAAATATCATCTAAATAATCATCTTCTATATTTTGTTCTTTTTCATTTATTAATAAATTTATTAATTTATTTTTTATCTCTTCTTCGTTTACACAAATTTCATTTATTTTTTCTTTTAGTTTACATTTATTTGCTTTATGTCCTATTCTTCCACATTTATAACAAACAATTTTCTTTTTAATAAATTTTCTCTTTTTAGTTGGTTCATTTTCTTTAGAGTTTTTATACCTTGTTTTCTTAGAGTATTTTTTAACTTTCTTTTTGTATGCTAATGGTGATTTAATTCTTTTAATTCCAAATGCATCACAGAATGATCCTACTTCTTTCTGTTTTGATCCATATTTTATTTGTAATCTTAATTCTGAACATAACATTAATCCTTCTTTTTTCACAAAAGCAAATAATTGTCCAAAAGTAATATTTTCGAATGAAATGACATCTGTTCCCATTTCCTTTTGTAAATTATCCATTATTCTTTGTGAAAATAAGCTTGGTAATCCAGTTATGAATCTTTCTTTCCAGAATGAAGCATTACAATCTGGTCTTCTTAATACATTTGTTAAGAACATATCTTTATACCATCTAAAATCTGATAAAGTTGGACATCTTAAATTTGTTAAAAATGTTTTATTAGAATTTAATTCCTCTTTTGGATTTCCTATAAAATACATAACTATTGTTACAATTAAAAATTCTGCAGCATCTGATTGTATTTGAATATTTCCTTGATCATCTTCTATTTCTTGAGTATGATCTAGTATTGATAATTTATCTTGTAATGTTAAAGCATTATCCCACCAATTTTTTAATTGTCCAGTAAATCTTGAAACTAGTAAAGTTGCAATATTTCTTTCTTGAATATTTTTAATTTTATAAGCTAATCTAGCCATTCCCATTTCTTGTAAATTA